TATTCCTACGCTGTTTCTTCTGGTCTTTTATTGTGTGTGTTTTTATGTTTTCTGACATAAACAGCTATGAAAAGTAATATTTATCCCGTGAGCAGCTAGAACTGAGCCTAGGAAGGGAGGAAGTCTTCTCGAAAAACGAAGATGCCCACGAACCCAGGGATTTTCCCTCGGTTAGGATTAGTCCCAAACCTTTATACCTAAGAGAATATGCGATCCGGTTGTAAGCACGTTGAGCGCTCTAGCCACATGCCCCCGCCCCTTATTGGAATAGACCCTGTCCAAGCTATCCGTAGGTATAACTCCAAAATTTCAAGCAAAAATTATGGCAATGAACAGCAAATTTTACTTACGTTTGCTGTAGCATAGATCAAAAGTATCAAAGAGTATACGTTACCACCTAAGCGGCTTTCTATCCGATTCTACTATGCTGTTTTATTTAAACGCTCGTGAGAATAAAGAAAACGGTGAAGAGTGAGCTAAACTTGCATTCCACAGGGTTCAGTAAGCTTTGCAGAATTAAAGCCTGTGAACCACATCGTTCGTAATTATGTTAATGCATGGTCTGTTGGATGGAACAAAAATTTTGGAAGGAAGTTGCGCATGCCCAAAAATAAACAATATGGTTGCGGCATACATATTGACGCAATGTCAAACGTGACCTGCAAAATGCGCCATACATAGATACCACGTCATCACTAGTGTGCCGCGTGATAGCAATGTATCCCACCCTATTTTTCTGCTATTGTGACTGAAAGTGGTGTGTGGCAGCCATCAGCTCTTTTCCGCAAAAGCAAATCAGTTGTTTAGCGTCTTACACGTCAAAAAATGGCTGCGGATACCAACGTGGTTGATCGTCCACCGGTCAATACGTAACTGGTAGCGCACTTGCCCGGAAAGCGAGAGGTGCGGGTTCTAGTCCCGCCTGGGGCGAAAGTTTTGTTCACAACCCAGCATTCTTGTGAAATATGTGGACAGCATATTTAGCGAATCACCTATCGTGCTGGCAACGGTCCGCTTTTGCTTTAGGATACATTTCGATTAAGAAGTTCCTTAGTATTGCTTCTTCTGTAGGGTGGTGAACTTCAGTTTGAATTCAAGTTTCAATATGGTGATTTTATCGATAACAATCGTGGCGGATTGCCACATGATGGCACAAATTCAGATTTTATGCTTCGCTCCCGTTCGCTTGGGCTTGCGTCCGCCACTTATTTGTTAGTAGAATCCGTACCGACTAACTCTTAAGCCAAAAACCTGGGGAAACTGGTCTCCATCATTTTATTTTTTCGTGGCGCGTCTTCGTCACTCAACAGTTAACCGGTTAAACTACTCGGCACTGTAAAAAACGGAAAGATGAAACAACTGCCATGACCTATTATGCCGAGCCACTACCGTGTTCTGCACGAGCCAAACCAGTCTTTCGCAATCGTGACATTAATCCGCCGAGTTGATGGCGAACGTATAGTGACGGTGCAATGTTATTCATCAATGGCGAAATTTAGGGTGAGCCTGCCATACGCTGTATTACGTCTTATTGACTTCGAGGTAGACCGACAGGCGAGCGCCATCGCGCGCGAGAAAGCGCACGGAGACACAGAGGGTGTTGACTACTTGAATAGTTCTATGTACGCGGGCACAAAATGGGAGGGGACAACACAGAGGATGTTGAAGAAAATCGCTTGGCACGGCCTCAATCCAAAGAAACCAAATAAACAAGCCTTGTAAGCAGGAAGAGCGATCCGATTAGGGGTGAACTATATTACAGGTGTCTGGCAAAAGCATGCGAATGTGTGACATGTCATGAGCACTGCTAAGGCGAGAGAGCGAGACTGGAGCAAGCGAATGAGGCGCGTTGAAGGACGAGTTCAAGTAGTCAGACGTATACGCCGCTCGTACTGGTAGCGGATTGGGGCTCGTCACCTTAAATCAGGTATTGTATTACAGAGGCTCCGATAAGTACGCGCGGTGTCTCTATCTCCTCGCCGCGCGACGGGCCGAGCTTCCTGTCGGCTATTGACTCTGGACGCGTTCCAGTGGCGCATTCATAGTCGGTTTCTTCCGAACGTAACGATCGTACAAGCGACTATGAATGCGCCCTAAGAATTCCATCTACGCCGCTGACCGCGTTGCGATTACTTGTTATGCGCTACATTGCCCAATCTGTTCTTGCGGCACGCTGCCATTTCTAAAGTGATGTACGTTGTTCGCCAACTGTTGACATTGGTTAATATTGTATCCTAAACGACAGTTGTAATTAAGCTTCAAGAACAGTGTTAGTGCCCAAGCAGTAACTATTCTTGGAGCTTGTCTGAAACGACCAGAGGGGTTGCGCGCGGTCACTGAGCGATGTGATCGACTGTAAATTACGCGTTCATCTGGTTTTAGGAACTGTCATCAATCTTCCTGAATGGACCATCAAATGAATTAGTGAAAGTGAAGGAATTAATAATTTATGATCAATACATTCCCCTTGTGGAATACTACCTTTTGCTTGTTGTTTTATGGGATGTTCATTCATCTTCATTAGTTTAGAAGAAGTCTGAGACTTTACTCGGAATGCTTTGTCGGCGTCGAATTTTACAATGAGATCCCAGATCGCTATGTGGCATCGCCTGCAACTTCTACTCCACGATTTTCTTCAGGTACATTTCCCTAGATATTCGAATGCTTTGTTTTTTTTTGTTTCGCTTTCTATGCTCTGAATTGTTGAAGTTTTAGCGAAAAAGGCGACTGCCATCTCTCCACGACCTACAAGTAGAAATAAGTCTCGATCACCTCATCTTGTCTCACAGGTATTCTTTTTTGCCTACAACACAGGCAACATTTCTCATAGGGCCCAGTCCCAGTGCTTGCATAAGTCATTAACACTGCAAAGAAAGTGTCAGTTTTAAAATGCATGTGAATGCCACGTTAATTATGGATTTACTAGTATTTCGATTTACTCATAATTTGTGCGATGTTCATTTCTATTCCCCGAACTAAGCTGTGTCTGAGGCGGCTAGAAAAGGGACGCGCGCTTTCTGCTTGATGTGATCTAGAATTGAGAAATGACAGGAGAAAAGGGGACACGGGGACGGCTGATTTTAACAGGATTTACATCTGAATCGCTGGAACCCTTGGCAACCTTTCAGCATGTCGTGCCACGCACAATTCCCTCCTGTACGCAGTCGCGCCTGGTGTTAATCTGGAGTCACAGAGACTGCGAGTCGTTTTTGGTCGCCGGGTGTGACCATTTCTATCTTTTAAGGAAGCTAATTTCGGCTGCGAATTCATTCAGGAAAATATCGCTGGGCGCTTTACTTTTTGAGCTACATAATGCGAAACAAACAAGCGCATCCTACTTCGGTGCTTGTCTGAATAACTCTCAGAGTAATGGTCTGTTAGTGGTAATGTGAACCGTTTAGCCAACGTCAGCCCGTTCTGCAAAAAGCTCGCCGATTCCGCCATCACTGCAAGAAGCACCTCCAATATCACGCCATCGTAATAAAGGACTGGAAACATCATCGGCGATGATGGTAGAAACATATCTCACCTAAAGATAGCGCTCGTATCCATATCTTTTTTTCAGGAGCTATTCGGTGGAGGCTCGTCGTTCGGCACCACATCTGTTTTTGATCAGATTCCTCAACCACGAGAGTCACGCAATTATCACAGAAAGAATGTGCTAGAGAAAGAACTACAACAGCTTTCTGATTGGGAAACTGTAAAGCTCCCACCAACAAAGGGTCCTTTCTTTTCAGAAATTGAAGACCACGGCCAGGTAAATTTACCCCACTAACTAGTGCAAGGAGCGAACACGTCTTATATGAAATTCAATGAGACCTATTAACCACTTTTGAATAGGCTTACGAACGAGCGAGAAAGCGTGGGAATTGGCGTTCAACGACCAGCCATTTCGACCAAGTCACGCAACCTGGTCCTGAAATTTTTGAAGATACTAGCAGTGCGCCTGACACGGGTATGTGTGTCCTCTTTCAGTTTTCGATCGCTGCTCTACCACGTTTTTCAGAGCAACCTATCGACTCGGAAGCTTCAGCAGCGGCCGGCAACGTATCTGAGCGCGAGACGCCGAAATTGGGAGATGATTGGAAGGAAGCGAAAGAGGATGTCTTAGGGACGCCAGTGCTATCCGAGGAGGAGAAACAAAGAATGATGGAAAGTGAGCCGGGCCCAGATCTCGGTGACGATGAGGTTTGTCTTTTGGGACCTTTTCATTTCTGCTTCAGTGAGAAGCTTGATGATGAATAGAAACTTATTTTATTGAAATCTCATAAGGAATCAGTCTATCAAATCGTAATTATATTGGCCACTTTTTGCACCCTGTTTCCTTAATTGCTTCTATCTCTTAATCAAAGAAAATAGCCCAAGAATCAACTCCTTGGATAGATATACTGTTTTTTGACAGTTGTTCACTGCACAGCATCCATGCGGTACTTTCGCCACTTTTTTGGTCTTCTGCATAAACTTTACTATGCACTGGATCTAGGTGAGAGTATTACGTCGTTGAAGGTTTAGGTAATTGCAGTAGCAGATGGGCCATGAGGACTACAGGTAATTCTAATGGGTACTAGTTTTTCATTCACGGACGGCCGAGGTTTCAGTGTCCGTAAAGGACTACTATATTATTCATGAATGGCGTATGAGAGAACTACTATAAATGAATACACTGCAAGATATGTCCTTTTCGCGTAAGTAGGGGTTCTTTTTTTGAGAAAGTCCCTCTTTCACCCTATTCGCATTAGCACATGCGGTAACCTAAACTGCGCCGATACATTCGAGATGGCAACGTAGCTATGTGAGTATTCGACAGCGTAAAAGTGTAGCTCAAGTTTACCTCGCCACATCCTGTAAGGCTGCACAAATACTCAGCTGATTGCTGCCGGCTGGTTTGAAGACTGATGAAGGGCTTCCACCTTGCCATGTCAGTGCGTGGGACGTTTGTTATTATCCAATCCCGTTTGTTTATCTGCAGTCGCTTCACGGTAAACGGTGTATAGATCGCGTGTTTATGTTTACCAGTACCGACAGCGCACACAATTTGTATATTTAGCATGGCGATCGTTCGCTAACCCATGTGTTTGTCATAGTATTGATGATTATCTAATCCGCATTATGTGTTAGATCTGATAGAGGGAACGTGTGGGAAGTGTTCGTTTATACATCCAACTGCTGATCGCACTCCTTGTCTGGATGAAGTAAATTTGCGACCTTGGGCTCCTCTTAAAGGATTTCCGATGGATAAATGCCTCTCCGAGATTGGGAAAGCTATCTCTTGTTACGAAGATTTGAATTAGCCGACACCAAAAAATCTTTTTCATTCACTTATTGGGTTTTAAAAGCACTAATTTTTGAATTTATGTTTTCCGTACATATAGTAGAGCCTGTCGCTGATGGTGAGTTCACAGGTGGTCATGCTGCGTCAAAAAGGACGTGTGAGAGCATTCAGAAGAGCTGTGTTCATTCACTTTGTTTCCACAAATTTTATGTTCATTATCCAACCACTGTCTCCACGTGCTAAATTTGTCAGCGTTGTTTAATTACACCAATATATTCAAGCCATCTGTCAGTGGACAACTGCCACAATTCTTAGTAACGTGTACGTTTGATCGATGGTTTGCCATTAAGTCATTGTTTGAAAACTTTTGAATTGCAGGAGGCAGTGACCGTGGGCAGCAGTGATTCGGAAGCGGTCAAGGGACGGACCACCGACGGCGATTCGCAGTCAGAGGCAGACGGCGAAAGCTCGGCCGCCACGAGAGACACAGAGGAGGCGGCCTCCGCAGAAGGCGCAAGCGGCGGTGGCGGCATGTCGCTGATCATTCGAGGAGCGCAAGTTGTCAACGACGATTCTGTTTTCTTTGCTGACGTCATCATCCAGGACGGAGTTATCAGGTAAATCACACAGGTTGTCCGGTCGTTCACCGCTCATTCTGAGCCAGCTTTCATTTCCCTGCGTTTTCTCGTTTCTTCTTCTCTTTCTCGCTTCTCGAATTTGAGCAGTAGATTGGATGTGCGCCATATTTCTAGTGACTAATGCTTTTAAACAGAATTGCAAATGGCGTGCATGACTCATCGCCTTGGAATTGAGCGCATCACTTATGTTGCCTTGATGATGATGCTTTTTGTAGTCACGCACTATCTGTGAAATCCAATTGAAAGGAGTGGTGTCAGTTAATGTAAGGTATCAGTAACGGTAGATGTTTTCAGTCCCGGTTGAGTGAATCAATAGTCTGGCTATTTCATCGTACTTATTCCATGAGCAGTTGCGAAATCGATTCGTTCCTTCATCAGATGGCATTCTGGGCTTTGTTTGCGCACCTGACGAGTCTGGTGTGGATGGGTAACGATTTTAACGAATACGAAAATCTTCGCTCTTTACGTTCTGCTGCGGTCATGACGCTAAGGCGGCGAGTCGTTTATCTATTCATGGCTGTTTGCGATCGATGATGTTGCGCTGGATCGGGCTATTAGGGATGTGCGTGTGGATCTTACTCGGAACAGATGGCGACTGAACTGGCCGATTGGTTTGTCACGAATAGCAGAGGGCACAATGGTGACTTTTTTCCTTTTCAGCGCCGAGTCGCAAAGTGTAGTGTTACATAATGCGCATTCGCTCCATGTGCGAAGGAGGCCTGCGATTTCGAAACCAAACTAGGAAGTGCGGTAGAAAAGAAAGATATTTCTGATGGGGCAGAGATATCTCTGATAATCCGATGAGGTTTTATAGGAAGTAAATGTCACTAACAATCCTTTCAAACTGCCTTTTGCGTTTTTCTCTACTAATAAAGTAGCTTGGATCGATGGCGTTATTAGCTCAAGGAGTTTGGGTATTTGCTAGGAAATGGATCGTATTGATTTTTCGAGTGCTACTCTTGAGCGTTGTGGCGTCTAATATCTCTAGTGTCGCTCGGTGAAGACAGTGCCGTGGCTTCATAGCTATAATCCGTCAAGGGATTTCCTAAGTGGTTTGGCAGTCAGCTGTCCCATCGAAGATATGTGTTAAAAGCCCGCCTAGGCTTTAGCAGCTCTACGAAATTGCAAAGCTTACTGTTCAAGATTTCCTAGATGGCCTCCCTTCACCAAATGTGTCGTTTCTATACCTCAATCTTTTTGGGGATATTAGGTTGTCCCATAATTAGTGAATCACTTTACATTTATTGTTATTAAAAATCCAAGAAAAATGGTGAAGGCGTGAAACATGTTTTGCGAAGTAGCATCCACATTATCCTACCTGAGCAATTACTCGCCCATTTACATGCTGCCTTCCGTGGCTGATACTTCAATTTTTCTGGAACCTATTTTTGAGCTCCCTTCTTAATCACTTCTGATTAGGATCTTTCAAACGCCCAACAACATAGAGAATCAACCAGCGGATAGGCGAGGGCACGCTCCCTCAATCCGCGGTCTGCTTGTAATTCACTCTATCGAGAGGTTGGCTTTTTGAGTTGAAGATGACCCACACTCCAACTACCCCTCAAGTGGCAATCTCACTGCTGTACCCAGCGCCACTGAGGGTGGATCTGGACAAACTTGTCCATTTG